TTGTAAAGCACGAGCACTGTCGCGTTGTAAAGGATTGTAGCCGACACAATTCGACGCAGCATCAAAGGATCCGAGTTCTGGCAGTATTGTTGCATTAGATGATCGTTGGACTAAATTATTGTTTGAGAAGCAAAATCCCTGATATTTATACATGGCTGGAACAACTTTGACGTCGCAGCTTTGTATGGAATATTTACTACGTCGGAAGCTACGTTTTACAAGTGGAAGGTGGACGACTCATCGCCGTCAAAACGTGTCCGCACTCCAGCGCAAGTGTCCGCAAAGAAACTGCGGGCTAATTGACACTCGATCGATTTTAATCAATCTCTTACTATTGTAAAGCAGAAAAAGTACGCAGGGGATACTTCGATTGATCAGCAGTAGGTTTGAGTGCTTTTGCGGAATATGGGTACTGTGGCATCACGCTTCAGTCTGCATAGGATAGAAAGCGATTTGTTTCGGAGAAAGATTGAAAGTGATAGTATGACATATTGCGACAATTGTTCGCCCATCTTCCACGCCAACAAGCAACGACGCTTTTAGTCACCATGAGGAAACGGATCACTAGGCAATCGAAGAGGGTTCTGACAACCGATTGTCGGTATAGGTGAGCAATATGTTTGTATCACGTGCACCACGTGGTCTTCATGCTAATGGGTGCGGCTTCATCCGGTGTCTGGCTAGCGTGGGGCATTCCTTACAAGGGGCTGTCCGCTACGATAGCATAGTCGGCTCTTAATACGCTGGACCCACAGTCGAATACGTCGAGCGTACGCTGACTCATCATAAAGCGCTAACGAAAGAAGGATATGAGTATTGTAAGTATGATGAGTTCTCAACCGGCAATGAACGCCTTTAACACTAATGATCGGGTGTCACTGTTTGAGATCAATGATGTTGCGAGATTGCGATTTAGCGATGCTAGCGGCATCGCAAGTGAAGCTATGCATATGGCAAGATTTTTGTGACTCCTGGAAACGGATCTTCAGCAGCGCTTTTATTAGTGTACACGTCAGTTTGAATGTAAAATGCTGACGGACGACCTTTGATGGACTGCGGTGCGATTACGTGCGCCATCTTGCTTTTTGTTACGCTTGACTAAAACGATGAAGCAAGACGTATCGACACCATTTTTTGCCATTTGGATTTGTAGTCAAATATCTTTACTCACAGACAGGGGAATCACACTTCCAGGTACTGAAGAAAATAGCGTGTTAATTTGGGCAATAGCAAATTGCTGCCGTCTGCGGGTGAGCATGTCGTATTCCTCGCCACCGATCGCGTACTTTGATGAAAAGTGCCTAAGGTTAACTGATTCTACAGATAACATTTCATACCATTGACGACGCTGCACAACCACGATTGCTCGAAGTCGTAAACATCTAGTAACTGAGAGCAGGAAGCAGTCGACGTAATATTGACAGTTTTAGCAGTATCCATTCAAGCGGTAGCGATTGTATGCAACGTATACATGGCGATGAACCTGCACGAATGATAAAAAGTATGGAAAACTTGACTGATTTTGGGTCATCGCAGTCATCCCCGAGCACAGCTACGCTCTTTCAAATAAAGCAGAGGTTCTCTTCAGTTAACGCTCGAAGAGCTATCAGATATTGGTGAAGACGTTCATGGTTAGCTTAACTTCGCTGAGCATCGTTTGGATGAACGCAAGTATGAGATAAACGGGTTTGTTTGTAGATGGGGAATCAAACATCCGACACATTGCAAAAGTGTCTTCGCGAGGTCTAGCATTGCTGTACCAGACTACCGTGTGCAGTACTGTCAGGCGTCGCTAGCCCGATTAAGGAGATCGAAACAAAGACGTCGCTAGCGTTTTGAGATAAAAGCGTTATTGGTGGTCTTGCCGCTCCGGTCAACTACTCCGTGAGCAATCTCGTCGCGCCGATTTTCGGGCTCGCGTTTACAAGAAACACTCTCCTGTCTGAGAGCTTATACAGCAACAGGAGCGAAATGAGTGACAATGCCGATAATTGTGGGCTAGCACGGAAAAAAGGGCTATGATAGTTAAGGTGGTTGTGGGTAAGGAAGAGGGTCTGATTGTGCAAACAAGACAAACACGAGCAATCTGCTACCTCGTGTACCTCCTCCTTGCTCATCGCCTGCGCGTGGTAGGGAGAAGAACTCTGCGTTATCACGGTATAAGGTGATCAGTGACTGTATATTTAGATGCGGCATATTTGTACTGCACGTGATTTAGTGTACAATCTTCTGCGTCAGGCTGTGTAGCTGAGCTACCTTGGCTTTAATCACAGGAAGACCTAAAGGCTAAAAGATCCACTTCGTTCTACGGAGATAAGCGGACGACCAAAGGTCTACTTAGTTCTATGGAAATAAGTAAGCTCAAACTCAGAGAGTCACACAAGCTCGTTGAGCTTTTTAGTCCTTGTTCAAGATACTAGTGATTTGGAGAGTAATAGTCCCACACGACAGCTACTGCCCAAAATATAGGTCTTATAATGTGCTCTGACTCATGATGTACCTCGCACAACTTAACCGGTTGTAACCGACGAACAACCCCTCACAGGCTGCCCGATAGAGTCGTCGGAATGTTGACGATCTTTCTGCAGAATGCAAGTGCACCGGTGCACATGTATCTGCGTGGGCTGGCTCATCGCGACTAGTTAGTACAATGTTTGTCACCGATGTGAAAGGAATGAGATTAAGCTGAGGGATTTGTCTTATCTAACTGCACTGCGAGTGTGAGCAGTCTGAATACCCCAACCAGAACATTATTTCCATAGTCTGGGGACATTCCTTTGTCAGCACCGATGTGGTCAGACGCGTTCGAGAGCAGTGAGGTGACCACGGCTGTGGCACGGAAAATTACGCAGGGCTGGAACGAGTTGCAGGGAAGAAGTGCATTGCTGAGACGGACATTTGCTCGCTTGGAATGATTCGCTTTGAGCTGTTTCACGAGCGATTTGGCACGGCAATGGAACGATACACCATTCTTCGCGATACTCGAGACACCAATTTCCCTACTGACCTCCACGCGGTTATGGGATGTCGCGAGGTCAGAGATGCGATTGGCAAGTTGTTGAGAAACGACCCGAGCGCGCGGCCAACGGCCGATGCAGTCGTCCAGTGGGACAAATGGTATACGAATGGAGTCTTGACTAATTAAAAACTGTGAATATTGTGCGATCACTGCGCACCTGGATATGGTCGGAGCCACGACTGATATACATACTTAGTACCAGGTATTGACTACGTCATGGCTAATGCCGGTGAGACGATCGTTCCGACCCCGTGTTCGTCGAAGCTGGAAACCGCAATGGAGCACTGTGTTGGCGAGAATGGCGACGATCGACGCTTGCCGATTTGTGTTATGTTCAAGCAAGATTGCGACGTGATAGCCGGGGCGCAGAATAAAAGGCTAAGATCAAGACGTGTGGACTGCACATGAAGAACGAAGGAGTGACAACATTGTCATGTGAATTGGACCCACAGGGGGCCCTCGCAGATGGGAATATTAGTGACGTAGAAGGTGCTGTGATCGTGGGATCGAAGGTCCCAATAGAGGGCAAATGGTGCATCGTGTGGACACGATTGGTTATAGCTTGCAATCACGTGGGCTGGGGGAACGAGACCGAGTGTACTAGTTCGACCGGAGTCCGAGCATAGACCCGTCCTGCTTGAAGTGGATGCGACGTTTGTTTGGCGAGTCGATCGTGTGACGAGGCTTTGCGTATCCGTAGTAATGCGTGCTGCTCGCAACATCGTCTTGCAAGCTAATTCAAGGCTGTATGAATGCGCCCAAGATTTTGTCGGTCGGAAGCGACCCGCCCGTTCCAAACATCGTACAAGCACGCCTAATGTAACCCAACTCTGATCCAATGCGTTACTAGAAAGGAAGCTGTAGTGCTGAGATGAAGCCGTTTGGAGGAGAATCTCAAGCACGGGTATATAAATGGCCTATTTCCTAACTTTCCTTCCGCTCTCGAATCGCAGTCGTCACGGTGCTCACGAGTCAAACAAGGATAATTCTGTTTGTCGTGATCGTGAAAAGCGCTTCAATGACTTGACACAGCACCAGCCAGCGAAGTAACGTTTGTTTTGTACAATATATGGCTTCACCTCTGTCGTCCACTCTATGAGTGAACGTGAAAGCGTACGCGGCGATACCAATCGTGGGAGCGCGTCGGAAAAAGTGTCTAAGGTAGCTTGGTGGATCGCAAGCTTCACGACGAATGCATTCCATCACGACACTTTTTAGACTCGATAAAAGCGTCACAAACAGTCAAGTCAAAGAGCACGCACATCCAGCATCCAAACGGTTTGCATGGGACCGCAAACTAACGCGCTTGTGGAAGAAGGCACGCTTGTACAAGGGTGTATGATAGTCGGATGTACATTGTCTTTAACGCTGCCCATGCCTCTCGGTCCTGCTTATGAATATTCTACACCTTCATTGTGAGTTTTTCTATTCTTTGTCCTATTTTTCTTCGCCTTTTTGGCTGTCGGGACCGTCTTGAATTTGCTTGATGACGTCCGTCCGCTCTCCAAGTATATACGTTCGTTAGTACCGGGTTCCAGCGAAGTACCCTCGAAACTATTTCAATTCTTGAGACGTTTTTTGGTCAAAACAGGGTGTTTAAATTTGCAGTCGCCTATTGAAGCAGGCCTGTGCTTTACCCTTACACCGAGTGAGAACTTCTAGTAAGGTATGTCAGCGAGAAAGCTAGAAGAGAAGCAATGTCGGAATCGATTTGCTTCTGAAAACGAAGGCGCGGTAAATAGCTGTCAACTTCTTTCTGCGAATGTTGACTCGACACGAGTAAGAATTTTGACTACGAGTGTGAAGTCAAACTGTAGAAATTGTTGGATTTCATGTAGTCTTACTTCTTCTGGATACGAGCTATCAGACTCACCTACGACCTGTTCCAAGCTCACACGCATCAACGACTCCAGCATATATCGCTTGCGAAAGCCAAATCCGAGAACGTTCTTGGCGTACCTACCCGTCGGTGAATGAGAGGTCATTTGGTCCTTCGACGCTTCGACGCTGAATTGCTGTTCGCCTCCGGCGTCATTTGACGCAAGCAAGACTCCACCGCCCCCAATATATTTTCACGTAAGTCAGACTCTACCGCCTCTGACGTCTTTTGACTTAAGTAAGACTCGACATCAATCTTGGTAGGAAAGTGACGATTCCGTAAATTACCGTATGCACGAAATGTGTCCGTCGCCACGTTTGTGAAACCCCTTTTGGCGTATTGGGAAAGTCGCAGCAAGTCATAGACAACGTCCATGTCTTTTCCATTCTCCAGCGCGCCTTTCCCAGGCTCGTTCTGCACTTTCCGCAGCAAGTGTTCCACTAGCGCTTTCTGCACTTCAACCAGCCTCTTCCTGGTCGGGTTTTCTCCTAGTATTGTCAAAGACCCCGATATAGCTTTCGCAAGCTCGGCCTCACTACCATACTGGCCCAAAAGCTTCTCGACCTGTTCAGAAGGTTCAGTAATTTCAAGGCGGATCAATTCTCTGATACGGGTACCGGGCATACCTGCGCCAATTATTGCCTTTCCACCTTTGTCCACAGTCCCCCCTACCGGTCCAGTGTCGTGCATGTGTTTCTTGTGTAGGCGGCCCATCGGACCCGCCTTGCGCTGATACTTCTTGTCGTTCTTAGAATTCTCATGATGCAGTGCAAGATGTTCGTCGTGCGCGTTCAGGTTCTTGCTGTTCATGTCTCCCATTCTCATACCGTTGGGTTTCAGAAAGCCAGCAGCACCAATCGGTCGACCCTTGTTTATCCGTCTCGTGAGCATCTCAGACTCTAACGTTGTTGCTCCAATTTTGCTGCTCTCATCCGTCTTAAGTTTCGACAAAGCACGCGCAAGAGTGGCTTCGTCACCATAGATACGCACTAACACGTCCAGCAGCGTGTAACTTTTCGAATAATCTGCGTTCCATTGTTTGACGAGACTTGCCATGGAGGTCAATGTCGAAGTGTGGAACATCACAGGATTCTCTAGAGCGTGCTTGATGGGCTCAACAATTCTTCCCATTGCAGGATCTTGCATGCTAGACGCCGCCAGCATCTTCGGTGATCCACTCGCCTGCTTTGTCCCAGAAAACCGAATCGGATTCACCATGTCGCGTAGGCCATCCGGTCGTTCTCTAAGCCCCATTGTTACCTTTTCATGCTGGTTTTTTAGCCATTGAGCATAGCTCAACGAAGGGGAGCCACCGAATGGGTTTAATCGTGCTAGCGCTTTTCTAGCTGGCGCTCCGTCGGCAATGGCGGGCGACATCCCCAACGTTAGCCACCCTGCCTCACCTGCGAGCGCTTTGAGCGACGAGGGAAGCTCACTTGGTAACGGCGCCCTCTCTTCGCCTTCCGCGATGTTGTTTGCTTGCGGCAGCCGATGGTCGTGGACGGCGTTGTGGTCACCGACGTGAGAAGGACCAGGTGTCAAGCGGTCGACTTGTGCCATCTTGGCACCGGCGACTTCCGAGTAGCTCGGGGTACGCAGAATGATCGCAGCAGCTGCGAGGAGCTCGAGCGACCGAAGGCGCATCTTTAGATCAATGTTTAGCTGCTTCAGAGGCGGGTAGTCGAATGAGTTGTGACCGATGCTACGACTCATTGGGCCACCCGATGTCTGTGGCCGGCCACATAATGTCTCATTGCGGCGTCCAGCAGAGGCGACCAACAGCTGATTCACAACGCGTGTGTCAAGGGACCGCTTAAGTGCAGAACGTGCAGTGGCCTTTGTACTGGTTCGTGGCTTGAAGTACCGGCGACGTCACTGGGATGCCCTGTTTTTGTGTCTCTGAAAAAAGACATGTTCTGATCAGACACGTTTTTGGCTTTGGCTTGTTGGAAACTGCTCGTCTCGCATTTGCCATTCCCAGGGTGCTGGACACAGCTTTCGATCGGGGTTTACTAGGTCACGAATAGGATAGAACTCGTAAGAAAGGTTTCCTTCCCCGCTGCAACTACCTTGGTCAACCAAAGCGCCAACTGTAACGGGGCAGCCCGTTACATGGAAGTGTCACTTTAAAAGAAAGTGACAACAAAGAATATTAAGTGAATATTCTTTAAACAATATCACCGAAGCGGTGATATTGAAGGGTCGACCAAAGAGTCTGCTCATTGGTTGATATCGTGATGATATCAACCCACCAATCGCCGCAGGACGCGCGCAATGAGTGGTGACGAGACGTCACCATACACTCAGTTATATTAACATAATTAAGTCAGGTTAAACAGAGAGACAGTAGCAAAAAGACTTAATTATATTAATACAACAATTTTACTTTCTCCTTATCCTACGCTTCCTCGTTCGCCTCGTGTACGTCTGTCGGGGCACCCGAAACCCTTGCGTTAAGTTCACGCAAGGGTGTGCCCCGTTACATCTGGTAGCACTTTGTAGTCCTTCCAAGGACCACAACATCCAACATGAACATGTTGGATGATGAAGAGACCTTTCACGCCACGCGTGAAGGGTTTACCCATTTGAGTGACATCGAATGGGGTGCGGTAGAACGAATGAGTTCTACCGTAGGCGAGTTCGCCATTAGCGCCATGTTGGAGTCTCTAGACAGAGACCAACAACATGCCGCT